TGTGCCTTAGAAATGTGTAAGCGTATTGGGAATTCGCATATCTGACAATCAACTCTTTGGTAGAGACAAAATTTGTCTTATCAACAACAAGTTATTCAATACAATCACCATAGTTTGCTTTAATTTTGATTTCTTATATTTCTACGTTTATCTTGGTCATACATGTATCTTGGACATTTTTTGTACTTTTGGTATCATTTAAATTCATTATGACACCTTAATTAGTATTATATTATTAGAAGTTACCAAACTATAAAATTAATATAATAATTATTATTCATAAGATACAAGTACGTCAATTTAAAATTTCTAATTATGTTTAACCTATAATACTGATAATGCTTTCAGTATAATAAAAATATAAATTTATTATTAACAAAATACATGCCGTAATAGATGTGAGACGATTTCTTTATACAACTAAAAAATATTCAATACAAACGAATATTTTGTCATTAAATTATTTTATTAATTTTTTTATTTGTTTGTTTAATAACACAATCGGAAACTGACGCCTATTTGTTACAATCGATAATTATACAAGATTTCTCAAATGTTTGCTGCTATCAAAAATCTGCAAAAGTAAAATAATATAATGACACATTCTTTTAATTAATATAATTCAAAATATAATTCAAGACATTAAAATGGTTTGAACGACTTTTAAATTAACTGTGCTTTAAATTTTCTTTCTGATAAAATTTATAAACTGCAATCATAACAATTCATAAATCTAAAACTTAAATACATTGGAAACATAATGTAAGCAAATGTATAAATAATGAATTATTAACGTTTTTCAATTTTTGATAATTTAGTATAATTAATAGTATAGTTGTAAGTATAATTATAAGTATAATTATAAGTATAAAAGACTGAGTGTGAAAGTTAATACGTGGCATGTGATAATAATTGTTATACTTAAAATACATATACATCAAAATATACATATAAAAAATGATTCTTTATTTAATTATTCTATACAAATATTTGATATGCTCCTAAAAAATAAAAAATTTAAGAAGTTTTCCTTGAAATAACTACTCATAATTTTCTCCTCTACCAATATTTTCGCTTTTTATCAGAAACTTTAAGTAGCGAAATAAAGAAAATTACATTTACATATTAATTAAATATATATCAATAAATTAATGATATTCTAAGCAATATAGTTTTAACAAAATATTTATAAATTATTAAAAAATCAAATTATTTGTCAAAAAATAAAAAAAATATTGCACAATATATTCGGACGAAATACAAAAAGATATAGATATAAATGTGCACTTTTTTATATCTGCAATTAACATACACTGAAAGAAAAGTGTCTGATATTTGGATTATGATTGCATAATATAATTATGACACCTACTAATATAATTATAATCACGATACTCATTTTTATAGAAATTGTTGGTATAATGTTAGCAATGTAATAACCTTATACGTATTGTATTGACAAAAAATCAACTATATTGTTAAAACATCTATAAAAATAATCGGTGCCAAAGAACATTATAAATTTTGGTTGCTGCTATCATTCATCTCTCTGAGTGTATGAATTGCATTTATCGCAATATCAATACATTTGGCAAATTCTATTGTATTTGATACAGTAACTATTTAAGATACAAATAATTAATTAATAATATTTCTTCAAATATCAATTGTTCAAAGAATAAGTAATAACATGTTTAGTGCAGGATTGTGTAAATGCTACGCAAAGTGGACGTGAGATGCCACCGCATCTCTTGATATCTGTTGGATAGGCTTGACTGCCATATTATTATTTACATTCAAATGAAAAACTGTAGCATGTTTCTTCCTTTGTTTTCTTCTTCTAAACACTTCGTTAGAAAGGCTCATGTATATCATATTCAGTTATCTGCGGCTAGTCAGTTGAAACAGACATAATGTCACAAGTAAAATTAACTAAATACAATGTGTGGGATTATTATAAAAATCCGCAGAATTGGCGAGCAGAGTGAAAGTTTTGCGAATCAAGTTTGGCCTATATCAATTTTGGAAATTTTTTAAAACATTTACGTAAAAAGCATAAAGACGACTTCGAATCCATAGTTAACAGAAAGCAAATAGAAACGCCGGAGATATATTACAACAAATTAAAGTTAGTATGTTTAGTTTGTAAGAAGAATGCTCCGTATGAAAATTTTCACAATCACATACACTCTTCACATTCTGTAACAGAAGTGGCAGATTGTAAAATCAAATTAAATAAACAAGAATATTGCACACAAATTGATAATTTTGAGATAAAGTGTAAACTTGTAAATTGTAACATAATTATTTGCCTTAGTATTGAAACAAAAGCAATAAAATATTATTTACAAAACAAGCATAAGAACAAATTGAAAAATATGCAAACGGGCGCAATGTGTGTGCCAACCATAGATATATTACATATAGATAGAGCTTTGTGAATCTTACGCCTGCCAAGATAAAATTATCTTTTCCTCCCTCGCGCATGTGCAATCACGCATTTATCTTCAGAAAACAGAAGTGTTTATCCATGACAACCAAGGATATAACCTAATTTTATGTAAAAGTGCTGTATCCGCCGAGATAAATATACGAATGCGCATGCGCGAAGGAGGAAAAACCGTCACTATCTTGGCAGGTGTTGCATTATAGCAAAAATGGTACAAAGCTCTATCTATATGTAATATATCTATGGTGCCAACCAGTGCTGCCAGTCGGGCCGGGTTGCCCCTCCAACGGCTAGGCCGCGCGCACGGTAACCATGGTAACCACAGTAACGTGTTGTGGGTGCAGTTTTGGCACAATCCCAGTGAACAGACAGATACTGGTAAGGTTTTTGGCTAGTTTTTTTTTACCCTTGCAACAAATGTTGTTATTCTTAATAATTTCTGCCAAATAAAGTATTTCTTTATAATTATACAAGAATGTTTTTTACAATTATTCTCATCCTATTCTTTTTAATAATATTTTATCTATCTTATTCTTCATAATTTAGTCTTCAATCTGTGTTATCAAAAAAATAAAAATTTAGATTTATATTTACTGGGATCCGTACGCTTACAATACGTTACTGGGCATAGCCTGGTTTTTGGAAGGGACTGGAGGGGCAACCCGGCCCGACTGGCAGCACTGGTGCCAACTCTTGTCACAAATACATCAGAACTATCACAAAATTAGAAATTAATAACGGAGAATTTTCAAGCAGATTGCAAATTAGAAGGATGCACTTTTCAAGGATGTTATATCGACAAAAACTTTAGAGAACATGTAATAAAATATCATAAAGAAGTTACTTTATACGAAGAAGAAAAGGGAGGATACCCGTGGATGCATTTCAAGTATCATGCTAAAGATTCTTTACAATGTCTTTTCTGTGCAAATGTCTTTTTACCGTCTCATTTAAAATATTTAAAACTTTATTTAAATAGCGATCATCAGGAAACACCCCTTTCTGACTATACGTCAAAAATAGGCAATAGTTGGGAATGGAAATACTGTACACAGAGTGATGATTATCATGTGCGATGCAATCTTTGTACTACCAAAATAGAACTTGATGTTAAATTAACGGATTTAAACTATTATTGTCAAGATATTGATCTGAACAAGCCGACAAGAATGAAAAGAGCGTATGACGCAGCGTCAGGACCGTCAAGAAGCCAACAAAACTAAAGAAAAAAAGTGACAGTAAGTTTTAATGAAAGTATTGTCAATACAATTATGCATACATATAATTAATCTGAGACATTGTTCAAGTCGCATTTTGACAGAACAAAACCAAACAATTGCCACAAAATTAGTTTGTTATGCAAATATTATAAATAATTTTACTGATTTATCCAAAGGTTGATCATGGAAATAACGACGTTCAAGTAGCACGACAATCAGCACGACATGAAAAAACAATCTCGACTTTGGTGATTGAAACAATCTATAGTATGAAAAGGAAATAATATATCTCTGACGGGTAATTATTTGTTTTATGTTTATAAAATTATAAATATGTTTATAAATTTACGTTTTATGAAAAATACAAAATCACACTTTCGAAAATTTATTAGTATATTTGATATGTTGAATGAGTTTTATATATATATATATATATATATATATTGCTTATGTAGTCTACTTGAAATATATAAACAATACTTATAATTTTATAAAGTAAAATAATTTTATAAACTAACAATCAACTCTTTGGTGGAGAAAAAATTTATTTCTCCGACAATAAGTTCTTTAACACAGTCACCATATTTTACTTTAATTTTGATTTCTTATATTTCTACGTTCAGCTTGATCGTACATGTAGCTTGGATATTCTTTGTACTTTAGATAATTTAAATTCATTATGACTCCTTAATTATTATCACATTATTAAAGATTTCCAAACTGTAACACTAATATATAATAATTAATATTGGTAAAATATGTCAATTTAAATTTTGTAGTTGTATTTAGCCTATAGATTTGATTGTGCTATCAGTATAAGAAAAAATAAATTTATTGTTAACAAAATGCATGCTGTAACATATGTAAGACGATTTTTTTGTGCAATTGAAGAATATTCAATACAGACGCTTATTGTATTATTGAATAATTTTATTTAGTAATTTTTTATTTGTTTGTTAAATAACACAATCTGAAAAATAACGTTTATTAGTTATATTCTGTAATTACAAGTCTGTCACACAAGATTTTCGTTCAGAAACGATATTGTATCGTTTGGTATTTTATTTAGTAACTTTTATTCGTTTGTTCTCTAAAAAATCTAGAAAGTAACGTTTATCAGTTACATTCTGAAATCATACAAGATTTCTGAAATATTTGTAACTATCAAAAATCTGCAAAAATCATATATTATAACGACGCATTTTTTAAATTGTTAATACAAAATATATTTCTGTGAATTAAAATGGTTTGAACAATGCACATCGACAAAAGCTGACAAGTACGCGAAGAACGTATGACACAGCTGGACCGTCAGGAAGCCAACAAAACTAAAGAAAAAAGGTGACAGTATGTCTCATGCAATTGAAACGGTGAAAAGACATTTGGACAAAAAAGACACTGTGAAGTGTATGTGGCATGATACTTAAAATACATCCACGGCCATCTTCCTCCGTTTCCTTTTGTGTATGAAGAAACTTCTGCATGTTTTTCCCCTACATGTAGACTAAAGTTTGTAGTGTCAATATAACAATCTTGAAATTTTAAATTAATTGTATCTAAATTTTATAATTATTAATAACTAAAAAATATAAATTACAATCATGATACTTCATAAAACTAAAAATTAAACACATTGAGTGTAAGCAAATGTATAAGTAGCGTATCAGTTTTCGAAATTATAATTACAAACATCCATAAAATTACGTCATTTTATTATTTTAATATTATGATTATGAAGAAATTTTAGTATTACTTACTTAATAGTCTTAATGCTTACATCATGTTCTGTTTGCTGAATATAATTTTGAATATGGGAGTAACACATTTTTATGATGTATGTAATAATTTAGTATAATTAAGTACAATTATAGATTGAGATGGATATTAATAAATAGTATATACTTATAATTATTATACTTAAAATATACGCATCAAAATATACTTATAAAGTATGGTCTTTTTATTTAATTACTCGATACAAATACATTTTTCGAAAAAATCTCTATTCTTCATTTCTGGAGAATAAAGAAAAAACATTTTGAAATAGAAAAAGTTTTGACTTATATATAAATTTGAGTAGCATTAAAAAAAAGTAAAACATACATATGCATGCAATTTAATCGAAGAAAAAGTATTCTTTTTCGTGTAGTGATACATAACTTTTTAAAATCATTATACCTTCCAGAATTTATGAAATATTTCGCAAATTATATACGTTATTCTTTTTTCCATTCGATTAATAACATTTTGTTCTAGAGTACCACAAGAGGTTGATTTGTTTAAAACTCGATATCTGCAAAACATATTTAATTACTGTACTGTGTAAGAAATACGGGATCATATTTTTTAATTTATTCACACGCTACCTGATTTAATAAATTACCTAAAGAAAATGGTCATCTGATATTTTAATCGTGCCATCTTTGCAGAGTAACACTAAAATGGTACTGTGCTATTGCACAGAGATCTTCAAACGGGAAGAAAGGTCTGCGTTCGAGTAGAGATCAACGAGAGATCGCGCACCGTAAGAGAATTCTACCGTAACGCAAATAAAATTTTACGGTAAATAAATAATAACAAAAGTCTATAAAATTATTTTTGCATATCTACATGCTTTATTTGTTGCACGTTATTTGTTTAATCGTACATAATATTTTTCCAATAATGAACAACTTTTCTAAATTTTTTAAGCAGTGATTGTCAAATAAAATGGTTTGATCATGAAGAAAACGTTTGAATAAAATTAGAATACTATAAAATAAATAAATAATATAAATTTTAAGTACGGTTATACATAATATTTATAAAATATACCTATAGTAAAAGAATGGGCTTTGGCAAATGTTCTATTAGCGAAATAATAAAATTAATCATATTATTGGAGATTTAATTTATTTTATAAAATTAATATTTTTATTATCTTTCCGTATTAGTAATAAAATAATATTGTAGGTTTAGTAGTCGGAAATAAAACCAAAATTGTGAAACGGCAGTACTCAATTAGAAATACTTACAAAAAATATTAGGTTAACACATATGTACTAGTTTGTCAACTTTATATATATCAGTATTAAACAGTAACTGTTTTGTTAAAATATAGCCGAAGATTAAGTCATGTTTAGTCACTTCGGAACATTTATCTGCAAAATGTCATCTGCTAAGGTATGTTACCATTTCCGCTTTGCATGTGTGTTTAAAATGACAAATAATTAATTTCAGCAGATTCCTATAGAACACCCTGTACAACATTGTAGATTAATTAACAAAAATTGATGATCTATTATGCTGCCATTTATTCGTTTTCTTTTACTTGTGTTCAATTTACAATATCTATTTAATTAAAATTCCTTAAAATAAATAGTTAAAATATCTTTCTGTATATTTTTTCTTACATTCTTGCTTTTTATCAAAAATTATAAACATTGAATGGTCCAATAAAAAAAAACATAAAATATATTTTAAACAATTCTAATATTCTTAGTAATATTAATATAGTAATATTCTTAGCAATATAGTTTTGACGAAATATTTATAAAATTATAAAAAAATCAAATTACAAACCAATAATATATAAACATATTGCAAAATATATTCGGACAATATATATTACGTGGTATGAAAATAAATGCGCACTTTTATATATCTGCAATCATTGAATAGAAATTGCAATTTATCAATTAATTCGGTATTACAAGTATTTCTTTGATATAGTAATTATTTAAGATACAAACAATTAAATGTATAATATCTCTTAAAACATTATTTGTTTAAAGAATAAGTTGTAATTGTGTCTTGCACTTAGATGTGTCATTGCTATGCAAACTGGACGCGAGATGCTACCGCGTCTCTTGATATCTGCTAGATAGGCTTGACCGATGTATCAATATTTACATTCAAATAAGAAACTATAACTTCTTTCCTGCCTTGTTTTCTTCTACAAAACACTTTTCGTTACAAAGGCTCCTGTATATCGTATTCAGTTATCTGCGTCTAGTCAGTTGAAACAGACATAATGTCACGAGTAAAAATAAGTAAGGACAACGTGTGGGATCATTTTGAAAAAATTTTGGAACAGAATTTTCGAGCATGGTGTAAGATTTGCGAATTAAGTTTTTTGTTCGTTGATCTTCAATGCGTTGTAAAACATTTTGGTGATAAGCATAACGAAGATTTCATATCCCTAGCAACCAAAAAACGAAGAGAAATGCCGAAAATGTATTTTGACAAATATGTAAATTGTCTTGTTTGTGGTACAAAACTTTTGTTTCAAAATTATCACAATCACTTATGCCAACATTCTACAATGGTATTGGCATATTATGAAATGACCAGAAATAAACGAGAATATTACATACAAACTGGTGATTTTACGATAAAATGTAAAATAGTGAATTGTGGCAAAATTATAACTCTTCCTCTTTCAAAAACAATAAAAAATTATTTATTAGGTGACACACATTTGAAGAAATTGAGAAATATGCAAACGGACGCAATGTCTATGCCACTCACTATCAAAGAGAAAAGAGAACTATTACGAGAAAAGTACGTAATATTGAGGTGTTTTCAAGCAAAATGCAAGTCTTGCAAATTTCAAGATTATTATATCGACACTACAAACTTTAGTCAACATGTAAATGAGAGACATGCTGATGTTGCTTTATACGAAAGAAAATGCGGCGAAGGATGGCCATGGATGTGCTTTAAGTATTATGCTCTATCTACATCAATATGTATTATTTGTAAAACAGTTTTACCGTATTATTCTGAACTTTTAATAAATCACTTGCATTATCAGCATTTTATGAACACACGTGATTATTACCATCACGACTTGAGTTGGGTGTGGAAATATTGTAATGCGAGTGGTGATTTTGAGGTGCGATGTAATCTTTGTACCGCCAAAATATCACTTGACGTTAAGTCGCATTTTAATCATCATACACACCACTTTAAAGACACACGTTGGCAGAAGCTAACAAGCACAGCCGGACCGTCAGGAAGCCAACCAAACTGAAGAAAAAAGGTGACAGTATGTTTAATTAATTTTTTATTTTTTTTGAGTCGCGTTTTAGCAGAACAAAACCAAACAATAGCCAGACAATTTGTTTCACAAGCAAATATTTATAAACGTTTATATAGGTTTATCAAAAGGTGAATGATGCTAACGGCATTCAAGAAGTTCGACAACCAGTTCTAATCAGCAGTTTTGGCTTTGGCAATTGAAACAATCTATAATATAAAAAGAAAATAATATATTAGAAGTGTAATTATTCGTTTTATGTTCATAAAATTACAAATATGTTTATAAATTTACATGTTATGAAAAATGCAATGTAACATTTCTGAAATTTATTAAGTACACATGTACAATGTATTTGATATATTTTGCTAATATGTAGTTTACTTGAAATTTATAAACTATACTTATAATTTTATAAAGTAAAACAATTTTATGAACTAACAATTGACTTTTCGGCAGAGACAAAATTTGTCTTATCGACAATAAGATATTCACAGTCACTATAGTTTACTTTAATTTTGATTTCTTATACTTTTACGTTTATCTTGGTCATACATGTATCTTGGACATTCTTTGTACTTTAAATAATTTAAGTTCATTAGGACTCTTTAATTATTATTATATTATTAAAAATTTCCAAACTGTAATACTAATGTATAATAATAGTTATTGGTAAAATATGTCAATTTAAATTTTTTAGTTGTATTTGGCTTATAGAATGGTTTGTGCTGTCAGTATAAGAAGAAATAAATTTATTGTTAACAAAATGCAAGCTGTAACAGATGTAAAACGATTTTATTATACAATTTGAAAATATTCAAGACATAAGAAAGCTTATTATACCGTTTGATTATTTCATTTAGTAACTTTTCATTTGTTTGTTTCTAGAAAATCTAGAAAACAACACTTATCAGTTATATTCTGTAATCATACAAGATTTCTTAAATGTTTATAACTATCAAAAATCTACAAAAATTAAATATTATAAAGACGCGTCTTTTCAATTGTTAATTTAAAATACATTTCTATAAATTAAAATAGTTTGAACAAATTTTAAATTAATTGTATTTAAAATTTATAATTATTAATAATTAAAAAATAAATTACAGTCATGACACCTCATAAAACTAAAAATTACATACATTGAAGACATAGTGTAAGCAAAAGTATAAATAACGTATCAATTCTCTTAATTATATTACAAACATCTATGAAACTACGTCATTTTATTATTTTAATATTATGCTTATGTAGAAATTTTTGTATTACTTACTGAATGCTATCAATGATTGCATAATGATCAGTTTGCGGAATCTAATTTTAGATATGGAAGTAATTTTTGTTAATTATGAAACGCATTTTTGAAGTAACATTTATAAGAATTTAGTATAATTAAGTATAATTGAAGACTGATGTAAATGTTAATAAATAGTATGTATTGCTAATTGTTATACTAAAAATACATACACATCAAATTATATTGTACTTTCAAAAAATAGTCGTTTTATTTAATTATTCCATAAAAATATTCAATACATTTTCCTAGAGAATAAAGAAAAAACATTTTTAAATGGAAAAAGTTTTGACCCACATATAAATTTGAGTAACATTAAAAAAAAGTAAAACTTACATACGCATGCAATTTAATTTTAAAAAAAGTATTCTTTTTCATGCAATGGTAAATAAATTTTTAAAATTATTATATTTTCCTGTATATATGAAATATTTCACAAATTATATACGTTGTTCTTTCTTACAATCAATTAGTATCAATTTGTTCTAGAGTACCAGAAGAGGTTGAATTTTTAAAAACTCGATATCGTGAAACATATATAATCACTGTATTGTGTAAGAAATACGGAATCAAATTTATTAATTTACTCAAACGCTACCTGATTTTATAAATTACTTAAAGAAAATGGTCATCTGATATTCTAATCGTGCCATTTCTGTAGAGTAACAGTAAAATTGCACTTTGCTGTTACACAAAGATTTTTAAACGAAAGGAAGAGTCTGCGTTCTAGAGATCAGCAAGAAATCGCGCATTGTAAAAGAATTCTGCCGTAACGCAAGTAAGATATTACAATACATAATTAATAACAAAAGTCTATAAAATTATTTTTGTAAAATTACATGCTCTATTTGTTGCATGTTATTTGTGTAATCGTATACACTATTTTTGCAATGATGAACTCTTCTAAATTTTTCGAGCATTGATTGTGAAACAAAATGGATTGATCATGAATGAAACGTTTGAATAAGACTAGAATAGTATAATATAGATAAATAATATAAAATTTAAGTATAATTAAACATAATATTTGTAGAATATACCTATAGTAAAAAGAAGTAGGCTTTAGCACATGTTGTATTGTATTTGGCCAAATATTAAAATTAATTATATTATTGAAGATTTAATTTATTTTATGGAAATAATATTTTTACTATTATTCCGTATGGGCAATTAAATAATATTTAAGAATCAGTTATCGGAAATAAAACCAAAATTGTGAAACGGCAGTACTCAATTAAAAGTACTTACAAAAATATTAGGTACCCACATATGTTTGTCAACTTTATATATATCGGTGTTAAATAATAACTGTTTTATTAAAATATAGCTGAAGATTGAGTCTTGTTCAGTCACTTTGACAGATTTATCTCAATATATTTTTTTTCATCAAAAGCTCATATATTATATTTATTTATAATTTTATTACATAAGCTGGTAGAGCTAAAAGCTAAAATTTTATGCTCCCAATTATTATTTGCAACATATAGGAAACCACAGACTTTTCGGCTTTGGGCTTAGGCCGTCTTCAGTGTGGGAAAACAAAACAAAGAGTTTCTTTGATCTAAATGTTAAATCGTAACGTCTATAAACTTATCTTTAATCCTATTTGATACATATTTTAAATTGAACTCACAACTGTGTATTTACTGAGGATTTTAAACACCAGTGCAACTAGTTATATAAAATAAAAGAAGCTTGATGAGCAATATGATGAAGACGTTACGAAAAATGACGTGACGCTTTTGAACACTTTTTTTATAAGCATAACGTAATTAAAATATACTGAAAACATTGTTGCGGTCAATATAATTTTTATTTTATTTAGCAACGACATTAGAGTAGATGACTATAGAAATATCAAATTAAGAAGTACGGTTATGTTCCTCTACCTTGAGATTGAAATCGGAAAATACAGAAAACCATAGAAATTGTACGTTGTATAATCAAAAGGATTTGCGTTGAGATCAATTTGAAATATGTATAAAATACGCGGAGAAAATTTTATATCAAAAATTACTATGTCCGGCTGTAACCGCGGACCAAAAATTTTTACTGTTTCACATGTAAAAAACAGTAAAATTTTTATAATTCTTTTATGGTCCGCGGCTACTACCGTACATAGTAATTTTAAATATAAAATTTTTCTCGTGTAGGATTAAAGATAAGTTTATAGGCGTTGCGTTTTGACATTTAGACCGTTTATCGAAAAATTGTTTGTTTTGTTTTCCCACATTTAAGATGGCCTAAGTCCAAGGCCGAAACGTCTGTGGTTTCCTATATGTAAATTATAATTGTGACCATAAAATCCTAGCTTTCGCTGTACCAGTTTATGTAATAAAATTGTAATTAACTGTATTAATTAAAAGAGTCATACTTATAAAATAAATATATAATAATTTATACTTATTTAACAAAAATTTACCAAATTTACAAAATTTCTACGTTTTAGTAATCTGTCCATATGACAGAAACTATAGAATGAAACAGCTATAGAAAGAAATAGATAAATAAACTATTAATACTTGGAAGTTTGTCACTGTAAAGAATATTGTTTATGTGCTCTGAACAGAATAATTAAAAAATTATCAATTTTTTTTAGAAAAATGATCAATCTTTGAATTGTTATAATTTTATGAAAAGAGGTGTACAATTTTGTTAGAATTGTTTTAAAAGGCTTTTACCTTCACTTTTGTAATTCGATTCTTTACGAAGATGTCTTCACACAACAATGCTATCTCAAATTTTAATAAACAGTTTTAAAGATCAAACCTTTGTTCAATATTTATGGAAATTTGCATAAAAATTTTTCACGATTCCATCGAATTGTTTGGAATTGTAAAGTTTTTGAGGTTTAAATCTTTCTTAAAATTTCCACCTTGTTTTCTAATCTTGTTATTTTTTTAACAGCGTAAAATATGTGCGATGAACGATATGAATTTGGCAGCAAAGTGACCACGAGTAGCCATGCAATAAAGTTACGTGCAGAAAGAACAACTAAATATTTTGTGCAAAATTCCTAACGAATTATTGCAATTACGCAATGACATAGCCGCACAATGCATAGAAAGAGCTTCTTCCGAGTCGTAGCGCGCACGCAATTGGTTGCCAAGGTAACTAAAAATGTTCGATGTACAGGACAATGAACACACTTTGCGAGATGCATGGAACGAGTGTTTCTCAAGTCGAGGCGTCAAACATTCAGTTTGTATGTCGCCGAAATGGATCAATACATCAATCATCACTGTACAACTGTTGCAACTCCGAAAGCAAAGTGAAAACAGTAACCCGGGTTACTCGATCGCAAAGTTTTTACATTTGCAAAAACAGATACTTTTCAAATTCTCTCTTAATTCAAATTTAATGTCGATAATTTACCTTTTTTGACGATACAATTTCCACGGAGTTAAATAATACGGGTAGAGGAGAAGGGGGGGAGTTTTGATACAATTATCGCGTACACGGAGCTTACCGTGATCAAGGCAATCTCAAACCAGTGTTATTAATTTGTGTTTACAGGTCACATTTTTGACGAACGACAGTGGTTTTCGAGATTTGCTCTTTGACAACTGTTTCTAGAATATTCCATGAAAAAATATTTGTCGATATAATTATATGGAATGCGAATTTGCACGAGATGCATTAAGTGCAACAATAATTTAACGCGGTTTACAATATACGCTCTTTTCGGTGCGATCCGATTCATTTCAGAAATGATGGTCTCTAACATTCGGAATCCCGCTTTTTCTATTTCATCATAATATAAATATAAAGTCTAAAAAATTATGTAATATTTATATTCTAAAAAATTTCACGTATCTTCGTAAAAGCATTTTTTGGAAAAAAAATTGAAATGAAAATTTTCTTTAACATAATAGTCACATAGAAATGTAAATGTTGTTAGATAGAAACCAATAATTATAATTTTCAAAATTTACGAGTAAAAAGT